CGTTCTGGACGGATGAAACGCATCTCCATGAAGCTCCACGAGACCCTCGAGGTCAAACTACGACTCGTATTCACAGAGCTAACTCTAACGAGCTGAGAAGTAATTTCTCAAATCTTACTATATTATAAAATCGTAAGCCCTAAAATTATCGAGATCTGTTCCGCGCTGTCCTGAAGTTACCGTTAGGGCGAGGGTATGGAAATTTCACAGAGTTGTGACACCTTATGTGCTGTAGCACGGCGCGTTCTCCTCTTTTCGAATTTTTGCATTTTTAGCCGAGTTATTGCGAAAAATCTGCAAATCTATTTTTGCCTATTTCGTGACTAATATTGATCCTATGAACTTGAAATTCGTTCTGATGAAGGGGCGAGCTAAAATGGTCATGCTGAAGCTTTTTGTCCATAAAATGTTTACAATTAGTCGAGTTATCGCGAAAAATCTAAAAAATTCACCGCGTCTATGTCAGGGTGTACAGAGCATACCATTGAATTCTCAACATAGACCTTTCTACCCACTGATACAGCTTTATACGCACACATGCACCTCGAAGCCCGATTTTTGAAGCCCACACGAGAGTAATTGCCTTTTTTCCAAATTTGCGAAATTGGGACAAATAATGTGGTTGTCAGATTGCGCAGAAATAACACGGATTCTCTTTAAGACAAATTAGCGTTTTCGATATTTTTTGGGACAGACGGCAGCGTCCTAAAAGATCCATAAAACTCTCGCGCGACACTTTACGAGCCGAGAGGGTCGCGGTCGCCCTCGCCCGGACGTGAGCCCTGCTATTCGTATATTCTTATGGGTCTCGGGGCTCATATCTTAATGCACATAGTTCCGTTTGGCAGAAGTGCGTCGTAATTTCTCAAATTTAATCATAATGTTTGAAACCGGCGATGTTTGATTGTTCGAAGTATTCCTTCTAGGTATACAGAAAAACGTACCTTAGTCAGAGAGGGAAATATTTTATAGAAGAATGATTTTTGTCGAGTCTTATTGAGAAATCGGATTTTGTGCAGTTTTGACAGAAGGCTCTCTCGGAATAGGTACAGCTCCGCTGCCATGCAAAGGAAAAACGCCGCATGAACAATCAGAAGTTGCCAAATTTCTTGCGATGAAACGTTTACTTTCGAGGAAAGTTACGAATATTTTTCCTTGAAATTTTCAGGAACTTTAGATGAAGTTGCGAACAAAATTATTTGAAAAATTTGAAGAAAAATATTCACAAGTTTACCGAAGAATTCGGGTTTTAGCAAAGGAAATTTGGCAACGCCTAAAAGTTCATGTGGCGTTTTTCCTTGGCACAGCAGTAGTTACCTAGTCTGCCGTGCTAAGGAAGAACGCCGTATGAACATTCGAGAGTTGCCAAATTTCCTTCAATTAAATATTCATTTTTCAGGATAGTTATGAATGTTCATCCTTGAAATTTTCAGGGACTCTCGGTGAGATTGCGAACAAAATTATCTAAAAAATTGGAAGGAAAATATTTATAAGTTTACCAGGAAATTCGTGTTCTATCACAGGAAATTTGGCAATGCCTGAAGGTTCATACGGCGTTTTTCCTTGGCACGGCAGAGTGTTCTTTAAAACGAGTTTCAGGCGGTTATGATCATTCTGGTGCTGATAGAGCATAGTACTGTGCTAAGGAAGGGTGCCGTAAGAGTCATCGGGCGTTGCCGAACTTTCTTCGACAAATCTCGCATTTTCTGGAAATTTTGTGAGTGTCACTTCCAATTTTCCAGAGGAATTTGTTCGTAATTTGATCTAAACAGTCTGAAAATTGCCAAAAAAAAAAATTTTCTGAGGAAAAATATTCATAACTTTCCTAGAAATTCAATATTTTCTGAGAGGAAACGTGGCAACATTCGAAAGCTCATGTGGCGTTTATACTTTGCCCAGCAGCGGACCATTGCAAAAATAGTGTATTTTCTGTGGAGAATACACTAAAAGGGTGGTGTGGCCCCAGAGATGCAAAATCAAATTTCATCCTGCTGGAAAGTGAAATTTTACAATCCATGTGTACCTAATTTCAACGATTTTTAGAGGCTGCGTGTGTAACCTGCAATAATTATTCGAGAGGTTAGGTTGAGTTTTTTTTTCGAAGTTTTTCCCTCCAAAAGAAATGGCTATACACTTATGATGCTGTGGCTCTAAATATTAAGCACACTGAAGCATAACCCTTGCACACCATGAAAGACACTGGCCATTGGTGCGCATACAGTCAACAATACACCACTTCAGGTGTGTAAAGCTTCGAAAGCTTACCACTCGCGTAGTTGCACGCTAAGTGTGAGAACAACTCAATTTCACTACCAAAAAAAGGTACGATTGGAAGTTTTGTTCACAGGAGCCTAGATTAATTATTTTGACTAAGTTACTCTACAAATTTAATTCCTCAGAGGATATGTTTTTGCCTCCTGCTTCAAAAGCAACAGATATAGGCTGTGTTGTCATTCTTCTCGCTAACTTTGACCACCGCAAAGCATGAAGTATGTTGCGTTTGGTATTAGCCTCATGAGGCTTATCCATAATTTAAGGAGGATGACTATCAAAGGAAAAATTTTCTGCAGGATAACTCTCCATTCTCGATCATACAGATGCTTCCATTAGCCGCCAAAAAAAAAGCGTGCAGATTATGGACAATCCTACTCTGACAGTATTACACCTTTTACGAACTGCCATTGAACACACTCCACAGCTTTAAAATTCAAACTGGTAGACATCAATCCATATGTGCAAGATATAAATCAAACTCTAAAGGGTTCTTTCCCATAAAAATTAAATTCCCAAAAAATTCTAACTCCCATCGTTTTCAATCCAGACGGTTCAATTTTAGAATTCTCGGCGGAACAAGAACTCGACTGTGGTGCAAAATGTGAGAGAAGAATTTTTGTTTTAATTCAGCATTTCGCAAGGAAATCTGTCATTCTATCGGTTTCAGCAAAGGCTTCTATCTCACAATCGAATTGTGAAGCGAGATTCACTTAAAAATGTTTCCTCCCTCAAGCTTCGGCTTCAGGAATGCTGCGACAGCTAAGTATGTAGGGGTTAAAATTACGGTAGATAAGAAAATGGATTACTAGGTGACAAAGACTCTCTAAAGGGAATAGTTGGCTTAGATTACAAGGAAACGAGTTGGGAACAACCATACCTTTCTCATATGTTGAGTGGCATAGAGCACATGTGTATCCATCTTCCTCAGGTGCTGCAGAGCCCTCATTACCGTAGTAATAGTATTCCTCACTGGGATAATAAGACATTTTGATCGCAATTAAAACATTTAACACTAATATTAAGATCACACCACCGACACACACAAAATAAACAAAACGCGGATACTGATAGCAGGATTTGTTGGTAAATACAACCGCGACGCGACTTGACGCGACTCACGCTTCGAGCGCCATATTCGAACTACATTATCGATCAGCTGTTCTGGTTATCAGCCCTGTCAAGGCCGTCTGGTTCTTTGAGATAACGTGCATAAAGTATTCCGACCTCTCTGCGCGCTGAGGCGTTAATTTTTTGAAAATTGAGGGGAAATACTGCACAAATTTGAATTTTAGACTAGGCGCATTCAGCCGACGAACTTATTAGCCTCCGTAACGGATAGAGATTAGCGTTAAAAAGTAAACACACTGAGATATTTAATACGTCGAAAGTAGGTCGCTTTATCAGACCGCGAATATTCTTCCTCTGTCATACTCATTGAACCCTGCATTGCTTTGCGGATTTAAAGCTTTTTAAATTTTAGTGTTTAATGTTTAAATTTCATAAACTGGATTTCAGGAAGACTAGAAAGCTCGTAACTTATTCACTGACAGATAAGACGTGGATTTTGCCTTACCGGAAATAGCTCACTATTTCCGGTCTTTCTTCCTCTTTCCGGTCACTTATTAAACTGTCGCTCCCCTCCTCCCCTAGGAAATTCATAATCAAACCCCCCCCCTCCATCAACGGATGGGTTTTATCCCCTTTCTGAGACGAAATTCTGCAAAGACTTCCATGAAGAGAAAATGACTTTTTCTCGCCTATACCTTCTCTCTTTATTAACATTCTAAGACATGGAGGAGTATACTTTTTAAAAAATTATTTAAAATTTTGAAAATGCCTGAAAAAATCGAGCAAATTCTATAAGCAGGTACAAATACCCAAAAAGTTATACAGAGCGTTTCAAAGACGTTTCAATTTCTAAATAATGGTTGCAGCTAAATGCACATTCAGTATAAATTTATTGTAGAAGATAGAGCAAAAAACCTATCACTTTCAGCTGCACTGCAAAAGCAGGCAACAACTTTTGCTCCAATCTCAAGAACCTTTTTAAAATAACACAAGGACATTCTCAAAATCATGACACCAGCATGAGACCTGAACTCTTTAATGTGTAAATTGATGCAGAACATTTGATTGTCATAGTTACCGGTGTTCTTGTTAAAATGTCAATGCACTTGGTTCCATTATAATACACCATGTCCATTTATTTTATGAATGAAGAAGTGGACCCACTGGCAATAGTTTGCTCTCCCACTCCCATGAGAATTCGTGCTAAAAATTGTAAAAATGTAAGGGAAAACAAGGAGGAAAATTAATATTGCTTCTGTCATTTTAAAAAATTTGTGAAAAGAAAAATGAAAATGTTTTCATGCTTAAATTGAGTGACTTAGATTTTTATGAGAAGGTATTTTATTTTTCCTACAGGATTGGGGTAGAATTGAGTTATGTGGTTTGTCTGCATTGTGCTCATTTTCTTCATTGTGCCATTATTAGGCCAGATAATAAACAAACCAAAGGCACTTCCTCAATGATACACGCATCTATTCAATTAATCCAGCCCAATAAGGGTACAACAAAGAGAGCACAAGCCTACCGTGCGACAAAACTGACCGATCTCTTATCCCTATTTTGCCTTAGTCCCTTCATGACTGGTCGACATTCAAAAATATCACCGATGGGCTTGCTGTAAGAGGTCAAAATAAAATGCAGCAGAGCTAACACAGTTAAACTTTTACATAAACAAAATTTATTCACAAACTTACCATAAATTTAAAAAATGTTTGATTCACTTAAAACGAGAAACAGGTAAAAAATCATGTACAAGGATATAATTACAATAAATTATAACTTATTTGATTATTTGTCAAAATAAAAATAACTTAAAAATGCACTATTTTTATCAGCATTGGCTGACTAATAAACAAAGTCTTACAAATACACGCTAATTTTGTATTTTGTCCCATCTAAGGAGGGTCGAAAGCAGAAGGTAAGTGAAGGTAGCTCTGCCATGAGATCTCCATAATCTTGAAATAGGTGTAATTATACAGGGGAATAATGAGATGATTAAATTCAATGACTCAATCAAGGGAGAAAATAGAAAGAAAAAGGAAAGTGGAAGGTTGAAGTCATGAAGATCATGAGTTTGAAGAGATAGGTTGAGGGAGTTCATGGTCATTAATTTACAAAACAGTGTGCGGGTATAACAGCACCAAACGAGGAATCAAAAATTCAAAAGATGATAAAACGTTGTATCCAACACAAAGGAACGTAACTCACTTGTGATGTCTACTAGTAGTAGAAAGTATTTCTTACTAGCATTTTATACATTCAGAGAAGAACAGTCACATAAATTTGCCTGAAATTTCCAGTGATTTCTCATTCATGAAAGGAGACTCTGAATTTTGCAGACAAATTCGTGAGACAAGTTCTCCCATGTAACAAAAATGTTCGTAGAAATACTGAAACAGTATGGATGAGATGTGTTCCTTAGTACATACATACGGCGACAAAATGTGACAGTGGCCTTTGAAAGCGTGTTTAGCTTCGAAGAAATGAGTAAAAGAAGTTTAATAAACATAACCCCTGAAAAAGGCGGATAAAAGTTATAGGATACTTGCTAACATACATGATCAATAACAATCCAATCAGTTAACAAAAATAATTAGTCCTAAGTACTTATTTTAATGCAAATTCAATTTTAAGTACATACAAAAAGGATCCAGCAGGTGGTAAAAATAACAGGTACTTATATATAATAATTTCGTTCCTTTTGAAGGTTTGGAGAGCAAGAAAAAAAAAAAGCAAAACAAATGTGGTGCCCCGATTAATAAAGCACATAACTTTTAAAATAAACTAGAATAATTTATAACAAGATTGCAGGACTAACAAATAGCGAAAAAGTTAATAAAATGTGGAAGATTATTGCTCTATTTCGCTAAAATTTGAGCAAAAGCGCACAGTGTTTTGGTGATCTTTTAACTTATAAGATGCTTTATTTTGTAAGGTAATTTTTTGATGCCAAACATTCCACTTCAGGAGAATTAGAATTTTAAAATTTTTGTAAAACGACTTGAGGAATGAAAACTCAAAATTTTTCAACTCAACTTTAAAAAGAAGGGTTATACAAACTTTCCAAGCAAATATGATTATTTTTCAGAAAATAATATGCTGACCTTCAAGTTTGAAGAGAGCTTGGAGCATTTGACAGAATGAAACAAAGCAAACAATGTTTTGACTTTAACTTGGCTGCTAAGAGGAAAACTTTCAAAATGAAAAACAAAACTAAATACTTAAACAAAGAAATTCAAAGAAAACCACTGCTTTGCTAAGCAAAAACTGCGGTTCTCTCTTCAAAATTTTGATCATTTTTCTCGGAGGTATTGCAGCTCTCACACCAACGTAAATTGAATCTATCTAGAATGAACAAAAAGAGCACTCTAGCTTTCTTTTTATAAAGTGTTCTATCTATGAAAACTATTAAAATCTGAGATGGAGTCCCAAAGTTTTTACTCAGCAAAGCCGACTACTGATACTAAGTAACTGATGAGATTCAAGCAACTGATTGGTGAACTTTGGTTTCTCATTAAAAAAGACACCTTTTTTAAAAACAGCCATTAGTTTCATACAGAACTTCATATTACACTACGCTAAGAAGTAAATTCTGTTCAGAAAAACCAAAAACTTGAAATATTAAGCGTAAATTCTTAAGGCTACATAGTTTCTTACTTGGTTTTTTTCAGTGAAAGTGTAATTCTTGTTTAAATTTTCACGGTATTTTTACAACATATTCAAGTGAATGATGAAAGTGAAATAATGGGAGAAAAATAAAGGAAAGGAGCTCTCTACTGCTTCTGCCACTGGGTTCTACAACCAAAAGTACTGAACATGTACAAGTGAAAAAATTAAAATACAAATAATATTTGATGTCACCTGTCTCTTCAAAAATTAGTTCACATCTATGAGAAATCCTCGGAATATTGAATAGTATGCAATATAATAATGCATTTACAATATTTTAACAAATTTAAATGCTGAGTGTCAAAAATACAAAGTCGATGCTATAATTCATTTTTTTGGCACTTGAAATTGCCTTCAGATCAAAATTATCATAATTCATCAGAGTTAGAGAGTCTAAAGACCTAGTGGTTTTTGGACCAAAGAGAGAGAGAAAAAAAAAAAAAAAAAACCAGTAAGTTGATGCAAACACACTTGCTCTCTTTTGAAGAGAGTGTCTTACCCTCTATGGCATGAACTAATTTTAGGTCTCGGATTTTGGGGAAACGCAAATCTAGGCGGTAGCTTTAGAAAAAACGGAGTCTCAATTTTTTTCCTCAAAATCCAAAAATTTTAGTGATTATTTTTCAAGAGAGAAAGCATAGATACAATTTTGCAACATCATGCAACAAAAAAATAGTTCAATTTTTTTTAAAGAGAAAACCCAAAAAATGCGTTGTTACACATAAGTGACAGTATGCCATAGAGGACTAAGCTTGCAAATGAGAAAAGTCAGATTGAAGGTACAAAACTATGATGGTGTTGTAATATTTGAGACAATTTTTCAATACAACTGCAGGAAAAAAACTTCACATAGATATACAGTATTAATCTAAATCCTATTTCTCAATTGTAGCGTTGAATATAAAAAAGGAGAACAGAAGGAAAAGCGCTAACTTTCAAGGAATGTTGCTACTAGAATCACAGGGTAGTTCAAGACTATATAGAAGATGAAAATTTAAAAGGCAAAACATGAACAAATAAATACGAGGAAAAATAGACTAAAGGGGTTAAGAGAAGAAATCAATGTGTGCTTTTCACAAATCATGTCTATGGTTAAAGAAGGGACGGTACCTAATTTAAGTTCGAGCCGGATAAATTGGCTGATGTCGGGGTAGAATGATAAATTTATCACAGGGTGTCTACTAAAACATGCTGGACAAAAATCAGTACTTTTACAGTACTTTTCAGTACACTCCCGATAAAGTCAGTACTTCTTCAACGGAAAAATGCAGTAATTTTTCAGTACCTATATTTGACGAAATTTTAAAAATTTCAAACATTGGGATTTCTCTCTCAAATTGCGACAAAAATGAAAAATTCCGGACCTTCTGACGAAATTTCCGCACTTTTCCAGTACTTTCGGACAGCCCTTAAAAAATCAGTACTATTTCCGAACTTTGCGCAAATTCCGGACTTGTAGACACCCTGTATAATCTTATTTTTTGTATTTTATTCCGATAGCCAAATAGCCAGCAGATCTTGTGTCAATATCTAAAAGTCACACCAACTAATTTGACATGAAGGTTTCAACTCGGAGGAAATAATTAAGTGGCTGATGGTGACAAATCATGCTTTAAAAGCTAAAACAGGAGCAAAAGAAAAGTAAACATTCTTGAACGGCCCTAAGCATATGGTAAAGGCTTTATTCAGGGTAGAAAGTCTAGGACTTTCTACAACCTGAGATGCAAAATTCTAAGACATGAGGCTTATTGAAAAGCTAAGTAAGCGAGGTCTATTAATAATTTAAACCCAATAAAAAATTGATATGTCTTAACAAAAATGGATTTTCCAATTCCAAAAATTACTTTGGGGGCTGCTTGTAAATAACGCCCTAGGGCAAGGGAAGCAAAGCAATCCAGTTCATCTTGACTTAAGAAAAGATCCCAGCAAAGCGTCAATATTTCTAAGATTAGTTCAGGGTTCAGGCAATATCAGCAAAACATGTTGATATTTTTTTCACATACAGGCGGAGAATAAAAGAAGAACAGCATAATTTTTCGGATGGGGGGGGGGGAGGGTGGATAAATAGATGGTGGATAAAAGAGGAGCTTGTCTATAATTTCACATTTCAGCATAAAATAATTTATGTAAAGCCTTTAAGGGTTGCAAGTTCGGATAATGGAGGCTGATGAAGACTCATACCTAAAACGCACATTTTGATAATGCTCACTGTTAACCAACTAAAAATATTTTGAGCAATTTTAAAATGCAAAGACCTATGAAAAATTCAAACCGGAAGTCTTGATAAATCCGTTCTATGTACTTAATTTTTACATTCATGCAAAAAGTTAGAGGCAAACCCTTCAATGCATTGTGAATTAGTTAAAACATGCACTTCAGGTATTAGGTGTGATGTATCCAAGAAGATTTCAAATTTCCATGAGCTAAGCAAGCTCTACCGGGAAACATTAGAGGAACTTGATGATGAGTTTAAAAAAAAAAAAAAAATTAAGAGACGATTTTTTCTCTAAGTAAAACTATGTTAAAATTAGACAATATTTAAACAATAATTTATGAAACGTGCTTTTTAGCTTTCAAAAAAGCACAAGATAGGAGCCCTCCATTAGACATTATTCTTGATGATATAAATACTACGGCAGTTGTCTTGTGGATTAATTTCCAAGTGACTTCTTTGGCACGAAAACGTTTGGTTAACTGGAGATTTTGTGCAATGGAACTTCCTCCTGGAGCTGATAAGAATCTTCCAAAGTCAAGTTTTTCATTTCATTTTCACTGTTAAAAAATTTGAAAAATTTTTTCAGCACTATCAATACTTGGAACTTTATCTTTGTCGATGGTGATTTGACTAGGAGGGCTTGTGTCATTTTGTAGATGCAAAATTTTATTGGAGCTTCCTATCAAACAAATCGATGGCCAAATTGCAAAACCATGTATCTCCATTTGCAATGTTGCTGACTTTCTGTCATACTTTATTTTTTCTTTGGAAAAAAAGTCAACGTAAGTTCTTGAAAACTTCCTTGATTTTTCCTCTCTGTTAGCAGCATATTCTGTATCCATTTCAAACTGTAAATGTGGCTAGTTTCTCTTTGAAAAAATCTAGGGTAGCAGACATTTTCAAACATTGCAATGCAGCGATGTGCGGTTCCGCACTTTGGCCATCGAAATGTTACTGTTTTTAGGGAGAAAGGACCTAAACGACAAAATAATTAAAATCAAGATATTGGTACCACTGATAGGAGGAGTATTTTACAAGGATATTTTGAGGGAAACGCTGTGGGAAAAAATGTAAGGCCAAACTGAAGTTATGACTGTTGAGTTGGCACTGATTGAACTAAATTGCTTACAATTTATTTTTAGGGCTATTACAGAAAGACCTTCCTCTAAAACATAATGTTTCATGCAACTGATGAGGATCGCTTTCCTATTAAATTGGTCTCCATTCACAGGGATCCCTTTCCTTGAGAACAGTCACTAATATCATACTAAAACTACATTGAGTTTCCAATGCCTGCAGCGTTGGGGAAAGAGAGAGAGAAGAAAATAACAAAATTGACAGAAACAGCGCAAGTTAAGGTCAATTTGTATTTTAAGGACACGGGAAATTCAAACAACTTGAGATGCACTCAATAGCCCTGTTCCATTAGCTCTTTCCATGTCACCAGCCTCGATTTGCTCTTTAAGGAGTTCTAATTCACGGATACCAGACACGGTGACCTCATACTTATGAGCGACTAGAGAGCGATAAAAGTGAATGGCAAACGCCAAGAAGATTATTAGAACAGGGATGAGAATAATGCACGCCGACCATGCAGCGTACTGTGAAACATCGTAAAACTTGACCCAACACAGGATGGCTATTTCGATAATAAATAAAATTAAACCTAGCAGTGTAGAGAAGGCCCATGCTGTCTCGATGTACCAGTGGAGACGTTCGTGTGGAGATTCGTGGACAAGACTAATTGAGTGTAGATTACATATTGCCTCCATGTTGGGTAGTATACACGTACTAATCATGAGTGCTAACATGTGAACTGCTACCAAAAGTGTTGTGCATATAGCAAAGGCGACTAACATTGATTGAGGAACTTGAGAATCGTTGCTTAATTGCACCTCTACCATCGCCACCTGTAACACAGATATTTTATAAATTGAGCATTTGTTTCAAATTAAAAGATTTTGACACTTTTTCAATGTCAATCAAAATCAATGGATCATTAGAGAAAAACAAATGTTCAAGGGCTTTAAACTAAAAATTTAGAAACTATGAGTAATTTATCAAGAATAAAGCAATCCTCTTGTTGGTCTATTGTTTTCTCTTGCAAGTGTGAAAAGGCAAATCTATTACATACATTCAATGTAAATCAACATTTTGATAGTTTATCACGTGAAAGAAAGTATGATCGATATTTCAAATGGTAGCAAACCAAATCACTGAGTGATAAAATTCAGGGACCTTTTAGTGCATTCAGGCAAATCCTCCAAATTAAGCACGTTCACGGACCTAAAATTAAAAAAAGAAATTTTTTCTAAGAATGCTTAACAACTTTTTGGGATACCCCAAATCATGACATTTAATTATTGATCATATTTTTCCAGGAATACAGAGGAAGTAGGATTGCAAGTCGCGTTTGGAAAGAAAGTGAAGAGACAGAAAACAACAGCATTTTTTTGCCAAGATGCTTTTTCAAAATATTCAGCAATCTAAGTACTGATGAAAAATACCAAATACCCCTATAAGTTTGAAAAACTATTGGATTTCAAATTTATATTCTATTAAAGAGTTGTTTTTACATTACATTTCAAAATTATCCTTTAAAATTAGAAAACTTCAGATCTGGAGACACTAAGAGACTTTCCAAATCTTCTAGAATCATGTATAGTCAGAAAACGGACAAATTCAAAGTATTCAGGGTTTTCAGTTAGTGGGATCTTTCTATTTTTTTGCCGAGTCAAAGAGCGCTAAAATATATTATGTCACTTTCTAGTCATCATGTTGATGGTGAAACTGCAAAATTGCACATTTCGGTAGTGGTGTGTCAAAATTCCTGCTCCTACTTTACTCATTAAAAGAAGACCAAACCTACATCATGGCTTGAAATTTTCACAGAATATTCTTCACATAGAAGAGAAGTCAATAAAGTTTTTGAGAAATAATGCTAATTAGTTATCCATGTAGAAAACAAAGAATGACAGGAAGTTTGCAACGTTGCAAACCGGGATACATGTTCCTGTAGTTTCACCATCAATATGCTTTGCACTCTTTTGCAACTCTCAGAAAATCAAGGTTTGTCTGGATAGAAAATTTTACGTGCCATCCTACTTTTTACAAAGACCTAATGACAGAAACTTAAGCAGTCTATTGTGACGAATCAAGGGGGAAAAAATAGCTCCACTGACTCAGAATTACAAAAATCACTGTGAGGAATAAAGCTTAATAGGTAAAAACAACCCATTATTTTCACTGCCAGGAAAAGTGTAAACAATCACTGCTCAAGAACCAAGTCTGTTACACCACTCAAAACTTCACTTTCAACTGGTATTAGATGTCAAATGGGTCACTAAACCATGAACGAATTTTGACTTGCGAATATAGTTTTCTGAAGGAAAATGACGCGTAGAACACGATACGCTCATTAAAAACGGGAACAAGTAACTCAATAACCGAGAAATGCGTAGTTCAAATCGCTCAACTTATACGCAAATTTAAAACGCCCCGGTTTCGCGCCGCGCCGAATGATGTCATCCGGCACCAATCAGAAGCGGGCAAGGGTTTCCACGACTCCCGTCAAATGTCTTTCTACTCTTCGTATGTGAAAACAATACTAAAGTCGAAATTACATCTTTTGAATTCAAGACTTGAATCTCATTCATATGTTAGCTGTAATAAACGAGCAACAATTCCACATTGAAACACGTTTTATTTAAACAAATATCAGAGGAAAGTGAGAGAAGATTGCGATATGACTACCGCAGTGCGTCAGCACCGTCAGCTTCCCGCCATTCGGGTGCGTTTGAAATGTCTTGCAGTTTTTAGATTTTTCAAAAGCGGGTTTCTCCGCGATTTCGGCTACACAAAAATGCGGAAAAATCACCACGTTATCTACTCACATTGTATTTTTAGAATATTCAATAAAATAAACAAGATTTAGTGACCCATTACCATAATTCCATGAGACACACATTCTATTGTCTTACTGCTTAGCTCTTGAACAATACGTCCGTGAGCAGGATAAGTGACAAATGTAATTCTAGTCATTAAAAACCTGATTCTTGTCTTGCATTATCACGTAAAATTTTGTCTGTCATGTTTATGCTAGTAAAACTTTTACTGTGACAGTTAGTAATGGTAAAGATGAGTAGTTTTACAACATTCACTAGACTTAAATGATTTGCAACAGTCAGAGAGTTCTGTGGTTTGAAAACACAAAGAAAAAAATACAAAGCAGTCTTCAGAAATAAAGTTTCACTACAATTGACATGAAAACCAGTCACTACCTCTGCTCTTCATACAGTTTGGTGCAGTGTAAAACTTGAGAGCAGCTACTGGGCACTGTTCTAATTATCTAGTCAGTAAAATTAAAACAAATTACCGCTTGGACTAACATTGGTGAAAATAAAACGAGATCTTGAGTATTTAAAATGCATTCTTTCTTTCCAGCAATAACAAAGCATCGCTTATGAGAGCACGAGACAATGTGCAAAATATTCAACTAAAAAATACCTTCCAAGTAACCAAGGATGGCAGGACCATTTAGGACAAAACTAACAAAAATCCACCTGGTTGCATTGGGAAAAAAACAAGTTAGGAAAAGTGTGAGTACTATGCTGATACAACCCAATAAAGAAGGAAAAAGAAACATAAGTTAGGAATTGTTTTAAATTCATTAGCAGTAAATTTTCTCCTGTCAACGATTCCTACCGATACGATAGAGGAGAGTGTTTTCCCACTGAAACTATGTGCAAGGATGCGGATGACAGATGTTAAAACCCAAGTGGCAGTGATCGCGATAAATAGCGATTTTATTGGTTGGTTATCGCGATTATATCGGTAGCAATATATCGAGATATTATCGCATTGAAAATCGTGATACATGGCGTTTAAATCGCTACAAATCGCAATTTTTGGTTCGATAAAATCATGATCAATTTTTGTCAATAAAGAAGAGATTAAATAGCCATTAAACGCAATTTTTATTTTGAAATATCACGATAAAGTGTCGGGCGATAAAAGAGCGATTTGATTGCGATAAGATCGAGGATAATCGCTCAGATGTTGATTATCCTGGCGATTTCATCGCTGATAAAATCGCAATAGCGATTTTTCCGTTGAGAAATGCTACTTGAGAACAGATGATTTATTTCCCATCTCAATCTGACTTCAGATAGCATTTCTGCCACTGACTTGAATTTGTGTTTTAAGAATGGTTAAGTATTTACCATAGCAAACCCTGACAGTAGGGCAGACGTTTTGGCTGAGGCTTTTAGTTTAGCTCTACTCAGCTGCAGCTTCCTCCATGATAGATACGCTGGTGAGTTGAGAATGCACGGTGGTTCTCCTGATTGAGACATTTTCTGAAAATGAAATAAGAAATTATGATAAGAGTAATTTCACAATTTTATCTAATTTTTTATCTATTGAATGCAAAAAGTAGACAGCAGGGTGCCTCCTAAAACAGGCTGGTCAAAAATAAGTCCTTTTACAGTACTTTTTCAGTACATTCTCAAGAAATTCAGTACCTCCTCCAACAGAAAAATTCCGTACTTTTTCAGTACCTACATTTGACAAAATTAGAGAAATTTCAAAAATTTGAAAATGCGACAAAAATAACAGAATATTAAAAGAAATTCTGGACCTTTATGCGGAACTTCCGCTTTTTTTCAGTACTTCCGGACCGCCCTTAAAAAATCAGTACTATTTCCTGACTTACCGGGAATTCCAGACTTGTAGACACCCTGGAAAGTATTCATTGCTGAAAGTAAAAAAAGCCCAATTTTTCTGCATAAATTTATGGAAAATCTCCGTCACGGACTTCTCAAAATGCGTCCAAATAGATTTAAATTTTCAGAAATTTCCTAACAGAGGCCCCCCGGACTTCCCTCATTTTGCTCATTTTTCTGTCACATCCAAGTTCCAAATGGATCCATCTTCCCAAAGGTTATTGTGCGATTGACGACCTAATATTCTGCCCTGCGACGTAAAAATGCTGTAAATGCCATTTTATATTTTTTGGAAAGAATGTATCATAACAGAAAAACTTGTGTATCTTGGGACAATGTTTTAACAGAATTATTTCGCAAATACTATCAAGTACTTACTTAACCTGAAAATTTAAGGTGCATGGGTAAAACAGTTTTTATTTTATAAAGCGTTAAGTTCCAAAAAGTGAGGGAAAATTTTGATGGATTTACGGCGTTCTTGCTTAGCATGGCAGTATTACTTTGTTGATGCCCTGCTGCTATCCCTTCATGGGACATCCTTGACGCCTTAAATCCAAGGGTGTTCAATCCAAAACTTGTTTGAGCAATCTATTATAACATTCTCTGCACATATCCATATCACACTAACTGTATGGGCATGACACAATGTTACGACAAAATGACGAAAATGACGACAAAATGATAATTTTAACCCAAAACCATAACAGAACTTTAACTTCTGGAAAATTTACTTCTATCCACTAAGGGCAATTTCCTCGAGAAAGGCCGGATAAATAAAAACAGTGGTTTACCTTGATACGTGATGGAGGATGAGAAGCTTGGTACCAATTGTAATCTGGCGAGAAGTTGCTAGGATCATAAATAGATCTGCGTCCAGAACTTGTTGACCACAAGGACATGGACCTAGATGAAGACTGAACTCTTGATGGAAGCCACTGTTGAAAATAGAAGGATAAAATATTAATCTGAGCTTTCAAAATAATATCAAAATAATCACAACAATGTATTTTTGAACTCAACTTCTAATCATTACATATAATTTTATCATCATAATCAATCATTTTGTCATGCATTATTTTCCTCCTAGCAATTCCAAAATTCAAGTTCTTATGCCTTCCATGTGTAGTGCACAGGTCATTGACAAGTGTTTTCGATCAAGTTCGTCGATTAAAACTTACTCTTCAAACAGAGTGTTAATCATGAAACTTACATGTCAACCATATATTATTGACAGAGTTGAGGCAAAGTAAAATATCAGTAAAATCAAAGGCAAAAATAGGCTGTACTTTTGATAAACTAATTTCAGAGAGTCATAGCAAACCACAAACCGAGGGTTGCTCAGATTACGATCAGATCCATATGCTCACACCTCAAGGCATAAATTACTAAGTTGTTTCTAAGTAATGGTTGATAGGATAATGAATTAACCTAACAAAAAATTAGAGTACATAACTTAGACAGATTATATTAATATGAAAGCTCAGTAAAAAAGAGAAGAGTATTAAATCTGAGTGAACACAGGAAGGAAAGCTCGAGAATAACTGACAAGCATAGTTTCCGCAGACTGGAGCTGTAATAGCTACACTGAAGTTGCAGCCCTTTAAAAAAATATTTTCTTTGCTGTTGAGTATGGTTTAAATTTAGAAAAGATGCTCAATTTTCTAGTTATTTCTTATCAGATGTTCGATTTGCTTTCTGCATTAAGAACAAAAATTTGAGAACAATTTACAAATTGCTTGATATGAGGTCCTTTTAAAATAAGATGAACTGTTCTTAGGCTACAAAATCGATAGCTTCCTTCCTCCAAAATGTACGCTTGATAAAAGAGAGGAAATACCATCGATTACGTCTGATACACGGTGACCTTTGGTATAAGGCATGTATGCATTCGCTACGCAAGTCTCGGCTAATAGGTTAGCAATTTCAGCTATGGCCACTAGGTTAAGATGTGGAGCTGCTACATATGAACAAGTCCCATTTAAATAAAGGTGACCAATTTTGATGTGTGAGATATTAACAAAAAAGGACTTACAAGGCTTCAAATTCCACAGAGCGCAAGCGTTAGGAAACAAGACAATGAAATCATCACAATATTGAAAACAATGTTAAGTCAACAAAACACAGAGGAAGAATATGCAAGAGAATTAATTCAAGATTTAAGTTGGTTCTTGTATAAAACTGAGAGTTAAGAAGTCAATAACAAAAATACCACAAGATACCGTCAAAATATTGAGAGAGGTCATACTGACTTCCCCACAACTTCAAACCACACAGAAAATTCTCAACATTCACTGGAAGATAATTAATGCGATTACGGCGGATTGCTATAATTACACCCAAGTGCGTAGTGTTCAAAACTCGTCAAGAAAGATACAAAATATGGCATTACGCTCATGTTTATAAATACCACGGTAACGTGTCAAAAAAGGGAATGGAAGGTTAGGATCCCTACGAAAGGTTGATGCAAATAACTGAGGTTTATTTCCGTATCGTTGTACGGTTTCGAGAGAATAGTGTGACTTACTCAAGAATAGTGGAATTCCTGACCACTTTTTAGAGAATATAATTTCCTGGGCGAAAGGAACACTTTATCAAGTTTCCGGAAGCGTCAAAACTGGTCTGATAACTGATAAACACTCACACTGATTGACGAAATCAAAACATTCGAACAGCTGATTATCTGGATTGTTGAGAATGATGTCAGCTGCTCTCGGTGCTCAACGGAATCACGTTCTGCTGGCGGCGCTAGATTGAGAGCAACTTCCGAACGGAAGTAAAGCTTCGATATGTAATTATCTGCGCGGAATGATTGATTATTTTGATAAGCTAGAAGGAAAATATTACCAGCTTGTTTTACCAGCAACAGCAGGGAAAACTGATCGAAGGCGCTGAGGCTTCTTTCATCGCAACGCCCGGATGCAACTATTCGTGTTCTTAGGATGTCCGCATTGCATACACAAAGAATTGCAGGGGCTCTGACTTTCCTTATTGCAATGCCCGGCTGTGACTACATTCGCACTTAGCGGATGTTTAAGTTGCATGCAATCGCGTTGACAATAAAAATTCGTAATTTAGGTGAACTCGCTTTGGGTGTAACGTCGCCACAGCGTCAAATTGGCAATAATTTACGGAATTTTTATACGCAACGTACGTGCCGAAAATTTTTCGGTAGCAAATTATGCGAACAATTTTTCATGAAGGCCTGATGCTTATGATAACTGAGGAGAGAAAAGTGTTTATAAGTTGGAAATCTCTCAAAAATTAAACAGGGGGTATGGGCGAGCTCTTGAACTTTTTTTTAGCCTCAATGTCTACTTCTTGCATTTTTAAGTTTCCCCTTTAAGTATTCTGTTTTATTCATTTAAAGGAAAATGGACCAAAAAGTCTTCTTGAACTTTTCTTTGAATTCTTCTTGTTGATCCTGAAAAGAAAATTAAAGTACAGTTTTATGAGAAACTGATGGGTGGTTCTATTTTTCCAAAAATAAAAAAGTGCGGAAAATGCAATATCGCATGAGTAAATAGGTAAGGCTTAGTGAGACTTTCTAAACTTTAACTAGGTATCGATAAAACGTCGCTTGAGGGGCTTGGAGGACAAGGCGCATAAGTGCAGTTTTTGAAAAAATTGAGATATTAATAATTTCAAGTAAAATTAGTCTTAAGGCATATGTTGTGAAACATTCGCTCCCAAATTCCAATTTTTTAACATCATAAAATCAGTTTGCACTTTTTTTCTGCCATAAGGATCCACATAATTTCGAAACTTCAAACACGTATTTCTCGAAGTAGCAAAAACTGCACTTATGCCCCTTGTCCTCCAAGCCCCTCTCTTGAGGATACTAGATGTTGATTCCTGAAGACAACCATGGAACACTATGGAAGGCCACACAGCACACACTGTATGGTCTCTAAATTATTTCATCTTCAGAAATAATATCTGTCGGTCCAGGCTCACGATCCAAGCTCGTAAGACAGGTGAAGATGAGACAACCCGTCAAGGTGTAGACATCTCTCTATTCTTCCTAGTTACGGAAGACCCATCCAACTATTCATGGAGCTAATGAGTTTTCTCGCTGCCACCGGCGAATTGATTTCTTTACGAACCGCTGATTTGCAAAACGAGGGGACATGATCATTGATCATCTACGTGTCTCGAAAAATGACGGCGTTGATCTGTTGCGAGTGGCGACCGCGCCAGGTCGCGAACGATTCTCCAATTCCTCCTCGTTCGAGTGTAATTTTTTGTGCAAATAATGGCAACGCTGCTTTGTTTGTTCCGTAGCGTCATTATGACCGCTCGTGAAATACAGGAGAGGGTGTATGCAAACACTCGCAACGTGAGATGAAGAAAAGCTGTCATCATGCTCACAATGTTTCAAGTCGAATTATCGAGCTGCAACTCTGTTGAGGTAAGGAAAAACCCCGTATACGCATTCCGATGTTGCCAAACACCTACAATCAAATATCTTCATGTTATAGAGGTTCTGACTGTCTTTCTTTAAAATTTCAAAGTGAATTAGATTAACGTCCAGGGCCGGATTTAGGGGGTGGCCACATGGGCCGCGGCCCATGGCGGCAAATTTAGGGGGCGGCAAATGTTGCAATTTTTCAAATGCAAGTAAGTATAAAAAAAAATCGGATTCAGAAAAAAAATTATGAACGAGAAAAGGCGACAAAATCTCTCATTTCATGAGAGTTAAAGTATAGTAATTTCTAATTCATTCGTCTTTCGGTGATACAAGAGACAGTGCTTTTCATTAGTCTAGTTGAGAGAGAAACCAAACACACAATTTGGCCCAGTGCGGCACGGCGCAGAGAGCAACGATGACGAGGACTTGAAAGGTGAAGCCCTCGGCGCGCCGGTCAGCATGGAACACATATCAGCGCCTACAAGACTTCATGAATACTTCACGCATTGCGTCAAACGTGGTGCGGTCAGCAGCGGTCGACGAGAAACGCATAGCGCCTACAAGACTGTAGGGATACTTCACGCATTGCGCCAGTGCGGTAAGTGCGATGCCGGAAATTAAAATTATGAAACCATATTCATGTTTATTCTTTCATATTTTTTTCGTTCATTTCTTATAAATGAAACGCCTTGTCTACACAGAGATAGGTTTACGGAACTTAACTTTCGCTCAATGTTCTGTGAACTTTAGCTAGTGTTGACAGGGCTTTCACAAAAAATGTGCCTAACACGAGTAAACGCGTCTTATGCACCCCTCCTCCTCCGGCACGTTCATTTGGTGGTTTTTATTGATGTTTCAAAACGAACGAGAAGGGGGCGGTAAAATACAGGCGGCCCATGGGCAGCAAGTAGGTAAATCCGGCCCTGTTAACGTCCGCAAAAAATTCACATTTCCTGGTGGATTCTCATTTTACTTGAGACGAATTTGGCGACATGCCATTGACAGATCCAGCGAATTGGCAACATTGTCTTTTCTCCATTTAAACCTATGAAAATGTATCGATTCTTGGAGGGTTCAGGTGCTCTGACAATAATCGATTATTTAGTATAGGTTTAAATGGAGGAAATACGGTGTTGCCTAATTGCTGAATCGGCCTCTGTGACATTCAAATGAGTTTGTTCATTACCACGGCAGAGGTAGTGTGATGATATTTTATTTCTTTTCAAAATTAAATTTAAAAGGCAGGTGTTTTGTCGTGCTAATGAGAAGGGGTGCCATTTTAGTATTAGATTGATGCAAAATTTACCTACTAAAATTTTTTTAGGAAACAAGTAGGTAGATATCTTTTTCTCGAGACTACATTTTTGAAAGTGCACCGTTGGAAAGCCGAAGCTCTGGCTCACTTTGCCATTTTGGGGAGTCTCTGTGCGGGTTTTTTTTTAGTACATCGACGTGTCTGTAAAGAGCTTTGTTCTATGTTATGATTTCGGTAACTAAATTTTGATTTGTCGGGGACTGAGATCTTTTCCCTGTTGCCGGTCACTACTAAATTTGCGTAGTAATTTTCCATTTACGAGTTTTTATACAAACATTTAATGTGCTCAATGTGTTTTGCATGAATTTTTGATAAGGAGAAATACCTCGCGATACTGTAATTCTCACTGTGACCGGTTGCAGTGAGTATAGTTCCATTTAAAATTAAAATATGTGGCTATGAGTGAAAACTAGTCGAGCAAGCCCCTTAACATCTGAGAGCTAACTATTATAGCTCAGCTGATGTTATGTTGCATACTCGTTTATTTGAAGGCGTTACCGTGTACATCGCATGGATTCTCCTTGGAGTGAGATGTATCTTCCTTCTTTTGACATGACTCGACGCCAGACACTGAGCGCACTATTGTGATTGAACTCACATTTCATTCCGCTTAAGGCTCGAGCCCCCCGACCGATACGCAGTCTGACCTCAAACCCAGAAGAAACTCGCGCATACTGCCGCGCTAAGGAAAAACGCCGTATGAAAATTCGAGAGTTGCCGAATTTCCTCCAATAAAATGTTAATTCGTAAGGAAAGTTATGAATATTTTCTTTTGAAATTTGCATATAATTTTAATCTGATCGCGATTAAAATCCCCTAAAAAATTGGATGAAAAGTATTCACAGATTTCCCTGAAAATTCCTATTTTATCGAGGGCAATTTGGCAATGCCCAAAGATTCATACGGCGTTTTTTCCTTAGAACGGCAGAATAGTCGTTGTTGAAAGCGCTCTGGTTTGTTCATCAAGTCAATTGCGTCCGAAATTCGTTGTTTCCTACAGCACCCTTAAATCGGTACATCATATGTTTAATTCCGGTGGGCGTCATATTTAATGATGTCCGGAATTTTCTAATCCCATTGCCTAAGACTTTTTTTTTCTTTTTTGGGGGACAAATATACGTATTATTCACTGGAAAAAAACACATTGAATTTAGAGTCCAGACTCTTGAAAACGTTGACAAGGAAAAATACTCTCGATTCAATCGGACTTTTGCTTGAATCAAAAAGAAATTCGCTTAAAGTAAGAGACTTGGTTCTTGATTTAAGCTAGATTCTGATTGAATCAAGAGTACTTTTTCTTGTCGATGTTTTTAAGAGTCTGGACTCTAGATCCAATGTGTTTTTCCAGTGTTTCCTTTCAGAGACTTGCGTATCCCATTCAAAATATGCAAGTCGACGTCTAACTCGAAAAAAAATACAAAAATCCCTA